TCCCACCCAGCCCCTCCCCACCCTCCCCACCCAGCCCCTCCCCACCCAGCCACTCCCCACCCAGCCCCTCCCCACCCAGCCCCTCCCCACCCTCCCCTCTCCACCCAGCCCCACCCCTCCCATTTTTGCATGCACGACAGACGGACACAATAATCCCCTGTGGGCTGGTGTAACCAGGAGGTTCCTGCCAGTATAATCGTACGAGTAGTACGGTACATGAAAGCACAACAGCAATACAATACAACTGTAAAATACAGTTACACATTCCATGGGAAAGCGGTATAGTCATAATCGTCATACCGTGGAAGTTTTTTTTATCATCGCATCGTATCCTGTAAAATGATACTATACTTAGCAAGTACCTACGTCTTGAGGTAACACAACAACATTTCGCCTCTTTCCCACGTGTGTCTCTGAAAAGTACCAAAAAACAATTATAGTATTTTCAACACATCCCGTCAGCCACATCACCTAATTCCTCGGCGAGGATTTGTTTTCAGCGGCATTTGTAATCCAGGGTTTTTCAAACCCCCCAGTCCCTCCCCATTCAGGACAAACCAACCCGTTGCACGCGGCGCGTGCCCGATTGTTGTTAAACGCGTCCCACGTGACGCGCTGAGCCAGTAAGGCGTGACAAATCCCTTACTAATTGGCTGTGCTGGGTGGTGGAGGGTTACGACACATTTATACTTACGCGATCTAACCCACCGTTCTCCGACTCTCCCCCCCCCCCTCTCTGCTGCCCCTCGTGGCATGAATTAAACGGCTGTACCAGGGGTCGGGAACCTTTTTGACTAAGAGAGCCATGAAAGCAAAAAATTTGGAAATGTATTTCAGTGAGAGCCATATAATATATTTTAAAAGTGAATTCAACTAAATGTAAGTATAATAAGCCTCTGAATTTATTCTTTTAAATAATGTTGTTATAACACTCACCATTAATGCGACTTCTGGTGCTGCATGGATTTGCTGATGTCTTTGTAGTCGGGTTGGTACTTGGTGAGGTTAAGCTTCATGCAAGCGTTGAGGCTTTCATCCGTTAAACGTGATCGTAGGTTGGACTTGATGTTTTTAAGATGTGAGAATGACTGCTCACATGCATACGTAGATCCAAACATGGTCAATACAGCAATACTCACACGCTGCAGTGTGTGGTATGTGACAGGAAGCGCGTTCCAAGTTTTGAGAATCAGCTGGTCTTCGGGTTGGAGTTTTTTCATTTCTGTCCACATGTGCTTGCTCGCCAACTCCGCTTTCTGTCGTGTGATTCTTTCCAAATCTTCATTCAGTGACTTGAACTTATTCACCCACATGTCTGAGGCCTTCAGGTCAGCCACTTCTGCTTCAAAATCTCTGACGGAGACACCAGGGATGTAATTCAGGTCGGCTGTGTTCAGTGAACACTCGTTTGGATGGGTGATGAACTTAAAAAGACGAGTGTGCTCACGAAATTCTCCAAAGCGTGCTTTGAAGGACTGTAGGAGACTGGATGTGCAGCCAGCTAGCTGGTGGAGATCAAGGTTTTGAATGGGCTCACTTGCTGTGCATGCATCTTTAAATTGGCTCAGTTTTTCAAAATGTAGTAAACGACCTGTTTCAAGATCCGTGATGAAAAGCTCCAGCTTGTTTTCAAAAGCAAATACAGCTTGTTGAAGGGATAACACTGTATTTCCAATGCCTTGCATTTTCACGTTGAGCTGGTTCAGATGTTCAGTCAGATCTACGAGATAGTAAAACTTGAGGAGCCACTCGGTGTCGGCTAGCTCAGGATGCCCGACGCCTTTCATTTCAAGAAAAGTCCGGATTTCGTTCAGGCAAGCCGCAAAACGGCTAAGCACCTTCCCTCTTGACAACCAACGCACATTGCTGTGCAAAAGCAGACCAGGATAGTTATTTACAACTTCATCCAGCAGTGTTTTAAACTGGCGATCATTTAAGGCTCGGGCAACAATAAAGTTGATCACACGAATGACCAGCGACATCACTTCGCCAAACTGCCTGTCACACATCTGAGCACAAAGTGCCTCCTGGTGTATAATGCAATGGAAACTTAGGATGGGTCTATTTTCATGTTCACGAAGCGCCACAAATGCTTTGTTTTTCCCCACCATACACGGAGCACCATCAGTACACACTGAGAGAAGTTTATCCATAGGTAGACTTTTTTCTTGAGCAAACTCCATGAAAGACTTGAATAAATCCTCACCTCTTGTGGACCCTTTTAATGGCAGAACAGCAAGACTTTCTTCGCGCAGTGTGTCACCAACAGCATATCTTGCAATCACGCTGAACTGCGACAAATGGCTCACGTCTGTTGACTCATCCAAAGCCAGAGAAAAGAACGGCGCTGCATTTATGTCCTTCACTTGCGTTTCCTCCACTTTGTTTGCCATCACGATGGTACGATCATGAACAGTTCTTGCCGACAGAGGCATGTCTTGTATCCGTTTGATTATCTTGTCTTTGTTCGGAAGATCATCAAAAAGTTCATTGGCTACATCCAGCATGAACGTTTTAGCATACTCGCCATCTGTGAATGGTTTTCCGTTCCTCACTATTGCTAAAGAACCAGCAAAGCTAGCCGAATTATAGTCACCTTGCCGGGTCCATACGCGGAGTTGCTGCTGGCTAGCTTGCACCCTGCTCAGCTCTTGGCACGCTTTCTTTCTGCTGTCTCCCGCAGGGTATTTTGATGCAAAGGTAGCGTGGCGCGTGTCGAAGTGCCGCTTTACATTCGACCGTTTCAACGATGTAATTTTGTCATTGCAAATTAGACACACCGCAGAACCCGCTCTCTCCACAAAGGCGAATTCTTCGGTCCATTCGTCCTGAAATGTACGATACTCGTCGTCTTTTTTTCTTTTCGCCATCTTCTTCGTCGAAGGGTTAGCTTTGAGCTAATGACCGAGCAGACGCAGTCTCAGACTGATTCAAAAGGGGGCGTTTACCTGTTTTACCCAGCAACGGCAAACGTAGGCCAGTATCATCCAATTAAAATAATGGACAATTGCTCCTGCAGCCCTGAACAGGACATGCGCAGTGAAAAATCGATGGATGGATTAAAACAAGTGAGAATATTTTGTTTTATCTGCGAGCCATATGCAATCATCAAAAGAGCCACATCTGGCTCGCGAGCCATAGGTTCCCGACCCCTGGGCTGTACTAACCACCTCGCGAATACGCCGCTGTGCCCCTCTCGTACACGCCAACCACGAGCTGCGCAGTGGCGAGAGTACCCACGTGGGTAGAACACACGTGACACCACAACGCGCGGGCTCACAAGTTAACGTGCACGGCGAACGCGCACACGCGGGCAAAATATACGCTCGTGCGAAAACACCGGACACCACAACGCGCGGGCTCACCACACCAAGCACCCCTCTCCGTATCCGCAGAGACGACACGACAAGGTTTAATGTCTACTGGCGATTTATTCTCCGCTTAATGAAGTTTAATCTACTCGTGTCAGTGCGGGTCAGCAGGGCAGGTCTAACCTATCTCCCGGCGGTCTAGGACCCAATTTGCCTTGTCTCTCCCTACTCACTCTCCTTAGCGGATATTCCCCCCTCGGCCTTACCTCTCTCTTCCGTACTTACGATTTGCTCTCGAGGTGTAGGTAGTCGCGGAGAGGCGAGGCTGCGCGTGGCTTTGGCTGGGAACTGGACCTGGCTGCTCTGCCACCCGTCTCACGGACGTTCGTGTAGCAGGGGATGAAGACTCCTCGGTCCCTCACTCCAGAAGACCCCGAACACAAAGAGGCCTTGCTTCTAATTTTCGTCCCTTTTTATCCCTCTACTTCAAAGCTAACGCGCCGCGAACCCGCTGGCCTCTCGTCCAATCCGGAGCCTCGGATTTCCCGCCGTTGGCCAATCGGATCATCCCCCCTCTCCGACGCCCGCTACACCGCACGCTGTGCAAGGGCGAGGGCCCCCCCCCTCCATTGTTTAACCGAGTGCACGGCATCCTCCTGTACCGCCCCGCCCCCCACCTGCCTGCCGATCCGCATGTGCCTTGGCTGTTTCCTCATTGCGGTTCTCAGTGAGTTCGTCGTGGCCATACAATTTTAAGTTAATCCACGGCGCCGCAGTGTCATTCGACCTGGGGGGGGGGGGGGGGCTGCCAATTCCCTGGCCCTGAGAAACCGTGGAGCACCCCCACGAGGGGGGCCCTCGGGTAAAAACTCAGGGGCAGGTGACCCCCCCACGAGGCCCTACGTGAGTGCGTGTTCATGTGGGGGGTGGTGGGGGAAGTGCCGTGATGGCAGCCGGGTGGCTCCTCTGCTGCAGCACCCTCGCCGCAGGCTCCCACGGAGCGGCTTCGCTGTCGTGACACCACAAACCAATCAAGGCGGTTTGCATGAACAGAACCGATTCATATTGAAATCAAAGACAAGCTTCCTCTCCGTTCGAGGGGTATTGTACATTGGTCGTTATTAATTGCCTCACTTGCACCCATCACAACGATGCTTAATTATATCAGTGAACATGTTTTTCTTTAAGGGGGCCGTCCATAAATGACGTCACGCACCTGGGGGGAGGGGGGTGGTCAGACATTTGTGACGATGTGTGACGAGGGGGTGAGAAATGTGACGTCACATCAAAATGCGCAACTTTAAATAAATATAGACAACACGTTCTACTTAATGAAATAGACTTTTTAATAAATGTTTTCTCCTACAACATCAGAGTTCAGCGCCACATTAAATACGCACTACAATGACAACAGTTTAAAGCGATTTGAAGAATGTTTTATTTTGGGAGGTGGGGGGCAGAGCTTTGTGACGTCATATTGGAGGGGGGGGGGTCTGACCTTTTGAGACGCCGTGTGACGAGTGGGGGGGGGTTAAAAAAAATCGTCCAAAATCGCGTGATGTCATTTATGGACGGCCCCTAATGCTATAAAAAAAAACTTATGATTTTTTTTGTCCAGAGATAAAAAAAACTCTATTCTAACAACAAAGTTGAGAAGAAGCCGCGCCTAGAGGGGAAAAAATCTGTTCTAACAACACGGCTGCGAAGGGGCCGGGCCTAGAGGGGGAAAAAAAACCTCTGTTCTGGCAAGGGCAGCGGCGACATCCCTGGCAGGCGGAACAATCCTCGTGACAAGAATGTCCCGGCAGGCGAACAGGGCGACGGAAAACAAAAAAATCGTAAGGTTCTCGGCGTCGCTACGAGCCCGCGGACACCTCGCCAGAGTTAATTAATCGGCTCTGTGCTCTCGTTTGAGTACAAAAGAGCGCCCCGGTCAACCGGCCGATGTTTTTTTTTACACGGGCCGCCACGTAGGCCGCGGGCTTTTTGCGGTTTTCCTAGCTTTCACCAAGGTGGCTAAAGCGGCCTTTATCCCGTACGCGTACGCTACGAAAAAACAACAAATCGCCGTCTGCGTGGAACTGTCACGCTTGCGCGTATTTGTAACGTCGATCTTTTATATAACGAATACCGTCCGGCAACAATTTCGACTTGTATCGTATCTGAAATTATAACGGTCATGCTCAATCCACTGCTGGACCAAGGCCTTCTTCCCAAGCGTCGCCAGGACGCTATCCCAGCGGCGATGTAACGATCCAAAGTGGATTCCATGGCTCCATCTCCCTGTGAGGCACGTCCTCTGGGCCGTGTTCTCTGCCCTCGGCTGAGACTCTCGTCATTATTCTCGACCAAGAGTTCTACCTCCACCGGGGCCTCCCGTGTCGTTGTTAAGGGCCGTTGACCGAAACGTCGCACCTGATATGCCTTAGCATTTTAAGATCATTCTGCTGCTGCGACTGTTGTATGCACGTTGAACCTCTTTCGCACCGTACGTAGCCAGCCGCGCTAATCTTAGGTGAGGGAGGTGGACAAACTAAACACAAAAAGCAGTCCTAAAGAAATGAGTGTCAATTTACATTCATTAAGAGTGCATAGCTCCAGTGTCTTCCGAATATCGGAAGGAAGAGCGTTCCAGACGGCCGCAGAAGCGCAAACGAAAGGGCGCGATGCGGCAACTGGCTATTGACGAATGTCGGGTTTTTGGTTATTTGTGCAATCAAAGCCCATACTCTTTGGTTCTATTCGGTAAAGTCACGTAGGTAAAAAATAAAACAACAAAAATCACGACGTTTCGGCCACAACACAAGTGGCCTTCATCAGGTGAAGGGACCAGACTGTCTCGAGGACAGCGCTGGAGTGGCCACAGCCAAGCTCGGACCGCGACCTTTAAGCTGTGTGGCTGTGTTTCACTCCAGCGCTGTCCTCGAGACAGTCCGGTCCCTTCACCTGATGAAGGCCACTTGTGTTGTGGCCAAAACGCCGAAACGTCGTGATTTTTGTTGTTTTATTTTTTACCTACGTGACTTTACCGAATAGAACCAAAGAGTATGGATCCTTGCAGTCACGAAAGCTTCAAATCTCCAATCAAAGCCCAGTTATTTTAAAAGTTAATACTGTAGTACGGCTTTACCCTGCGTGTGCTGTCTATTTTGCTAATGTTACCGATGTGCGATATGACATGGACCAACTGACAACACTGGATACTGAAGAAACAAATAGAGTCAAAGTTGAAAATAACCCGAAGAAGTGTGGAGGGGGTCATTAACGTGAGAGTTTTTGTTGTTGTTGCAATAGGCCACAAAATAGACTGCCTCCTCGTCGTAGGAATGTGGAATGTCAGACAAGGCCTTAAGGTTGTAAATAGGAGGTATCATCGCATGATAAACTAAAATATATTTTTACGTTATATCGCATTAACCCAAGTGATAACCGAAGTCTGGCGTTGTTACCCAGGGGGATTTCTTAAAAACGATTTTTTAATGACTTTATTTTACCAGGTAAGGCCCACTGAGCTATATAGCTATTTTTAAAAAGTCACCTGGCCGTAAATGATAGCCCAATGAAGTCCACGCGAGAGAACATGCAAACTCCAAATATACAGCAGGCGTCAGAGTTGGGATCGGACCCACAACCTCCTGTATACCAGGCAAGGTAGTTAACATCTTGCCACCGTTGGCACCCAATTCGTGCACAAAAATTAACTCAGGAAATCCTGGGTCTCTAGACTCTTTCAGGGGGGGACCTGCCTTGTGATATTTAGTAGGTCCTTTTTAAGGTGAAGTTGTTAGCATTTGAGCACAGGTGTCTGAGACAGATGCCAGAAATGTCGTGGCAAGGCAGGATAAGCAATGCATTAGACTGGAAGAGAACGTGGCAGGTAGCTGTTGTCGACATGCTTTGGCAAATACGGTGTGCTCAAGAGGATGGAGGAGGTGCTGATTGCCAAGACAGATATAGGAATGGTCTCCCACGAGTCTGGCAACCAAGGGGAAGACCTAAGACTAGCTTGTGGTATTCTGTCAGAGCAGAGATGTTGGAGGTCGCGTATCAACTGCAGCAGCTGTGGAATCTGAAAGACGGTAGAAAGCATTGGTGCGGTGTGGTTGGCATTAAAGGCATTGGCCATGATGACATATTGATCCCTTTTTTAAAGGTGGGAAGAAATCAGAATACTCGGAGAAAACCCCGTGCATAGGAGCGAGTAACACTCTTAAGCTCTGCACAAATAGGTTCGCTTGCTGTATTGTAATTTTGCAGCCCATTGTGCTCAGGGGTCCAGATTCATGTTTATCTGATCCACCAACCCTTAGTGGACCACCACATAGTTGTCTGCAACCAGCTACAGGGCCTGTCCAGTTGGTCATGGGACTGTTTGGTCTGGGGATGAGTACACATCTGCGTTATCGTAAAATACAAATTAAAAAAGGTGATCCCTGCTGCAAACGAGGCGAGTTCCACGATTTTGATATATATTTCAGACACCTCAAAGTTGTCGGTCGTCATTGGTATACTCGTGAAGTAATTTTTACTTGGCATAATTCGGCAGCAGTGGATAGCTCATGGCTGATGATGTTGATGCCATTTAGAAAGTGTCCCCCTTCCCGTTTGTTTTTATAAGTATTAGGATGATTTTTTTTTACGTTTGACTGAGGTTTCTGAATTTGTGAAACTGCCAATGAGTAACTGGGCGATGCTTAAATGCCACATTATTTGTGCTAGGGGCCACTGATTCTGGAGGATGACTCCTGGTGACTCATTACAATATTTTACTTATTTTATAAATCTTCAGAGATGATGGCCTGGGTCAATCCCACAACTGGGATTTTAACGTGCAACCTTTGTGAGTTAATTGCATTCTAATGTATCTCAGTGAGCCAATACACTGCTTTTAACACACTGGTATCAATTAATGGAGTGCATTGATTTCCAATATGTTTATAAATACAAATTGGATTTGTTAAGCATTAAAATGCAGCTGAATCTCAGTAAACTATTTTCAGTTTCATTTGGAAGGTTACATTGCTGCATCTATGACAACTGGTGCTAATGTCACTTGAAGGTAATGAAAAACAAAATATTATTTTAAAAGGGTGGGCGTTTAATCGGCATGAATAAAAAAACGTAATGGTATAGACTGAAATTAACCAAATTCCCTTCTGTGAAGATGATACAATGTGGGATTTTGGGGATCACGAGTGACTTCACGTTTTGAATATTGCAATGCATTTTCCTTGTTTTCATTGGGGTCTGGTCTATTCCACAAACAACACGGTCTTTTCACACTGACGGTCAAGTTCAAAGTGGCTCCCTGCTGAAATCACCAAATGGGGAGGTACTCATTAGCACGATGAAGGCCAGTCTCCCATAGGGCAACCAACCAATGTATGTATGTTGAACTTCTTTTGCACCGTATGTAGCCAACCGTGCTACAGTATTGCCTCGTTATTTGTGAGGGATACGTTCCGGAGGTGCTCGTGAATAGCAAATTTCGTGGGTAATGATATTGGCCTATGAATACCTTTTTTATCATTCATTCATCGCCCATAGTCAGCGAAGGGCTGTTGCGCTAAACGCGTGACCTCTTCCGACAGCGTTCGCATGAACTGCTCTTGGCTGCCATCGAGTGATTTGTTTGATCCATGGATCACGGGGAGGGGGGGGGATCACTGGGGTGGCGCCATTCCTTTGAGGGTCGCAGTCCACCTCGAACATCGACCGCCAACTGAAGTTTGCAATTTGCTGAAGTTTGCGCATCAAGAGGGGGCGACGTGTCCAAACAGTGACTGCCATCTCCCTCGTATTAATCTCTCAGTTGCTAGGAAACTAGTCGCAGATGCAATGGTGACATTTCTGACGAAGTCGAACCATCCGATGCCAAGAAGATGTCTTTGGCATCGCATGTGGAAGGGGCGGGCAACCGATCTAAATCGGCCTGAAGCAATGTCCAGGCCTCCGCACCATACCGCACAACTGGCAATACCGCACTGGTAGACCCAATTTTGGACCAAATGCGGTTCAGACCATTATTCCTGAGGCCAGGCCATCAATGCATGACATCAAGTCTACATCAGTGGTGTGTACATGGGGTTTCTTTTCAATAAAGTACCTTGAATAAATACATAAATAAACTATTAAATACATTAAAATGATCATAATAACACAACAACATAAACATTGGTTATCATAAACATAAAGTAAATAAATATGAAGTTATTAAATAAATGTTTACAAATGAACTTACCTTAAATTATGATGATGCTGCGCCATCATCACTTTATCCCATCACTTTTAGTCCATGAGCCCATAACAAAGTTATTGGTAATAATTGCGTGCATGTTATGAAAGTTTACAATTAATAGAAGCAAAATATAAAAAAAAATCTAAAAATTGACAAACTGAACAAAATATGTTTTTTTCCTGTAGTACCTGGCCTTTAATAATCTTAGCAGGTACATTAACAATGCATTGAGGGTAAAGTTATCACTTTAGATATCTTTACTGAACAGAAATAATACAGAACCACCACCTCACCTGCCAGTAAGTGATCATGAGCAAACAAGCTGCTAGTAACAGGAAAACAGATAGTGCCAATCTATTCCAGACTTAACTAAGTCACTGAAATTGAAGAACAAGCGTGAATAAATGCAAGAATATGTATGAAATACATGCCTTGGGGACAAACATCCATTTTGTAAATTATTTATTGTCTTAATTAACAGCAGATGTATTGGAATGTTTTATTTGTAACGTCTGGGCAAATAGGCGTGATTGCGATAGGTGCAAACACAAGTTTCCTGCGAGAAAAATTAAACAGCTGCTCATTTGGAAAGGTTATCGTGTATTGTTTTACTTCTGTTGGTGTAATAAATAAAATGGCACCATTGAAGTTTTGCCACCTTGGGTGGCACCGATATCTGATCTGGCCCAAGATAATAATTTATCTTATCATTTTATCTCATCACTTTCTCGCATCACATTCTCTCTCGTCGCTTAATCTCATTACTTTCTTGCTCTCGATGCAGCCAGGTAGAGTTCCCTATGCGATTCGCAGATAGCCAAAATTGTAGATAGCAGCTTCGTTAAAAAAAGTGGAATCCTGTGTTCCCAAAAAGTGGTACTTAATAATCTTCGATGGAATGATAGACTGAGTTGATCGCTGAAATCGAAACCTGCCAGTTGTGAGCCAAGCACTTTACCAAATTGCCATTCTGTTGAAATTATATATATAAAAAAACGATTACACTGGTAAGAATCACTGAGCTGTATAGCTTTTTTCAGAAGCGACCTGCAAATTCATAGCAGCTAAATACTCTAAACGCACGTTTCTAAATATGGAGGGAAACTGGAGGACCTGGAGAAAAATCCACGCGATCACAGGGAAAACATGCAAACCCCAAATATACAGGCGTCAGGATTGGGATCGAACCCACGACGTCCTGCATACCAGGCAAGGTAGTTAACATCTCACCACCGTGGCCCCCCATTTTACTAAATGAAGTCTAAACTTAATTTAGTAAACTTAATAAACTCCATACAGTATTTAAGTGCTCGCCACATACACAATGTTCCGTTGCCGCGTATGTCTCTTTGTGAGGAATGTGTTAAACGTGTGAAGACATGCAACAATATCACACCAACACTGATAATTCTTGCAAAGGCAGCATCATTATAACACGTCCCTGAGCACGCCCACGTACCAGTGGCTCTGAATTGCATTGCAGATTGTCTCTGAGTTCCATTTGAAACGTTGCAGGTCCATTGAATTGAGCATGGTGCATTTTCGTTATTTACACATCTTGCCATTCAAAGAGGAATGGTCTACCGTGGTGTTTTTATTTTGTTTATGCGACCATTAATTGTATACACCTCACTGCCACAGGAAAGGTTATTTTATACATTGCGGTTTTTGAATAACATTCTCACGTGTAAATTATATATATTTTTTTGCTGAACCAAGGCATACGGTGAAATATATTGGAGGTATGTGGAGTGCAAGTCATAACGAGTGGGCAAAACAACGCTACAAATTAACATATTTATACAACTATATGACGAACCGACATGTTTAAATGACATAAGTCGCACCTTCAAATTGACAAAACAAAAATGCCGCTAATTTCCAAGTTTCAAGCAATCTTGACACCACCTGAATTGCCTGAAGCCCTCAACCACATTGTCAAGTTAAAGTCTATGCCACGTAGAGCCTCTCCATTTCCTGGTGTATTGCATTCGAATATTTAGTCAAGTTTAATATGATTTTTTTTTGCAAATCAAGGCTCTACCACCAAACCAATTTGTCAATGATTATGTCACATCTCCCCATTGCCCAAGCACCAAATATTGTGAAAATCTCACCATTTGGGTCAGAACCGGGTAAACGTTGAAATCTGGTAAAAAAAAAAGATGTGTGTGTTTGGTGATGACACAGTGGCTTGCACGCAAATATGCGACCCTGTCAACCTGGGTGCTATTCTGGACGATGAATAGAAGTGGCTCGTGCAAGCAGCCTGAGCCTTGACACGGCCTTAAGAGAGTGCCTCATGTGATATGTAAACATCGGCATAGGCGAAAACAACTTCAGCCATCCATAGCTCTGGCTTCATTTCCTCCTCATGTGCCGCACTGGACATAATAGATCCTCATATTATTCTATCGCACGTCCCTGCGCACGCCTATGTATGAGTGCCTTTGGATTTTGCCGCAGAATTATGGTCTCTGATGCTTAACGGAGAACCTTTGTGTGTGTGTGTATATATTTGCGCTGTAAGCAGAGTTCAGAGCTGTTCTCTCTCACATACGGAGCACTGGTGACCCAGCTGTGCAAGGACTACGAGAATGATGAGGACGTCAACAAGCAGCTGGACAAGATGTGAGTGTTTCCGTATAGAGCGCAAAGCAGTCCTGGGTAACCTTCAAGAAAGACGCAATGCAAACGCCAACAAATGAGCTTTTTGTCAAAACATATTGAGGCTCCGCTTTTCCATAGTGGTCTAAATGAACGATAAGCCTCATTCATGGGAGAGAAAAAAACACATTTTAAGGTATGGTCAGGAACAGTGTAATGATCTTACTGGAGTCATGTATGAAAGTATGGGAGTGATTCCAAAGTGAAAATGCTGTCGTGCACCTGGCTGATTTTATTTGATATTTTCTGTCGAGTAAAGTTTTAAACTCATGTTGGACGGCCAGCATTACACTGCCTATCTGCATATCTTTGATGTTCACTTATGCCTTCCTTTAAACAATCACCACCGTATCATGACCGAAGTGAATTTACAGATGTCGACTGTAATATGCCGGCTTACATAAATTCATATTCGTCAGCTCTGGAAAATTCCAAATTAAACGTAAACTCTACTCCGATTGCTGGTGGTGTTTAATCCCTCCTGCATTCCCGGCACCCGGCTTCCTCCACTGCTCTGTCAGTTGAAATGTGAACAACTTGCCTGCTATTTCTCTGATTTCGGTCAGTGACATCAGAAAGGGCAGTCTGGTGTATGACTCTGCTCCTATTGTTATCTGTTCCCTTTACGTCACCACCAGCAGCAGCCCTTGACATCCCTCAGTGCCGTGCCCATGAACAACATTACTACAGTCATCTCCAACCTCACAAAGTCAATTTCCTCACCGCTTTCCCACCCTGACCCAATACATTACCAGCTTTCCCATTGCCTCCTCCTCATCCGGTAACGTTCCCTTCGTTCTCAAGACTGCTGCTGCTGCTGTCACCCACGACCTGACAACAACCCTCATCATTTGTTATGTATGCCATGCCTCCCATGTATCGCGTCGTGGAACATCTCCTGCATTTGACATTTCCTCACTCGTTTACTGGACATCTGTGCGAAAGAGCTTCATAGCTCATTGGATTCTTCCAGTCGGAAAAAAAATTAATCCGATTCTGACTCCAGCCACCGCTGAGATCCTCGTCCGGGCATTCGTCACATCCTGACAAGACTGTTGCAAGTTTTACCTACAGCCTGGCCAAAGTCCTTCATCTGCGCACTCGGGATGATCCAGCATTCCGCTTTTGACCCACACCCATAAAAGAGACAACGTCATTCCCGATGCTACAATCCCTCCACTAGCTCCCAATTCAATTGTGGTTCAGTTTCAAGATCGCACTCGCATTTCTTCGAGATTCTCCATGGATCTACCCCCTCCCTACCTCTCCTCCTGTCATCATCTCACTCTGTGCTTGTGATGTAAGGCATTTAAAGCTGCTGAGGCAGTTTAGTTCCCAATAAATGCAAATGCTTATCCTCTGCCCTTGGTGTTCCTTCATTCACCTCCGATTGGCACGGTTGGCTACATTTGGTGCGAATGAAATTCAACATAAATCTTGACTTAAAGCTTTCGTGACTGCAGGAATTAATATTCTTTGGGTCTTTCGGTAAAGTCACGTAGATAGGTACAAATTAATAAAAAAAAATATATAAGAAACATGCTTATGTTCTTGGTTCTTTCGGTAAAGTCACGTAGATAGGTACAAATTAATAAAAAAATATATATAAGAAGCATGCTTATGTTCTTGGTTCTTTCGGTAAAGTCACGTAGAAGGGAAACAATAAAATATAAAAATATAAAACAATTAAATTCTCACGACGTTTCGACTGCAACACAAGCAATCGTCATCAGGTGTGAAAACCACAGCAAGAAAATTTGAAAAAAGTGGCGGTTTTCTTGCTGTGGTTTTCACACCTGATGATGATTGCTTGTGTTGCAGTCGAAATGTCGTGAGAATTTTATTGTTTTATATTTTTATTATTTTATTGTTTCCCTTCTACATGAATTTTTCTTGCTGTGGGTTTCACACCTGATGATGATTGCTTCTGTTGCAGTCGAAACGTCGTGAGAATTTTATTGCTTTATGTTTTTATATTTGATTGTTTCCCTTCTACGTGACTTTACCGAAAGAATCAAGAACATTAATCCCTGCAGTCACGAAAGCTTTAAATCAAAGCATGCTTATGTTAGCATTCGTCATCAGGATCGCTTGTGTTGGAATCGAAAACGTCATAGTTTTTTGTTTATTTTATATTTATTATTTTTATTAATTTGTACCTATCTACGTGACTTTACCGAAAGACCCAAAGAATATTAATTTCAACATACATACACAGTTCATATTGGTATATTGCTTTGTTCATCGATGAAGCTTCTCGCTCTGTACCTATTAAAATACATCAATGTGTAGCATCAATTGGCGTTTACGATTTGTGTGAATACCTTGTGTTGGCTTTCATCCAACGTCTCCCCAGGGGTTACAACATTGGTGTTCGGATCATCGAAGACTTTCTGGCCCGCTCTAACATTGGCCGGTGTAACGATTTCCGGGAAACGGCTGATGTCATAGCCAAGGTGGGAAATTGATTTTCTTATTTGTTTATGAGAATTGGTATACACGATAAGAGATCACCTCTCGTCCACTACCATCTCCCCCGCAGATAATGCCAGGAGAGATAAGGTGAGTGTCGTGTAACTGCGCTGCGTTGCAGTGTATGCGTGTGCTCTACTCCAGTGGTGATCAATACATGGATCGTACGTCCGATGAGCACGGTTGCGAAATAATTTCAACATACATACGCACATACACACAGGTGGATCGCAAAATATTTTTTAGGTAGATCTCAGGATACATCAGAAGAAATGCCAACATAAGCATACAATAGTTTTTGTTGTGGCTGATGGCAAGTCAAAATGCCTGCATTATGAATTAATACATGAATAAAATAATAACTTGTACCCATAGATGGTGTCAGTACTTTTGGGTTATTGCATATTACAGGGTTAAATCGAAGTAATTGTTGGAGGATCGTGGAGTCCGTTGATGAAATCCACCAACATGGATCACAGTGGGTGTGGAAATATTATCAGAGTCGATGACCCGAACAGACCCGTCTGAAGGCTTGCTTATTACAGTGAATGGTCTAATGGGCTCTTGAGGCAGGCTTGACGTGAAGCAGTGGAAGGATAAATAAGCGAAACTGACAGGCTAATGAGTTGATCTTGGGTCTTGTATTGGGGGCATAATCCTGTTAGCAAGTCTGTATGCTCGTTCATTATGACAGAGAGTGAAATTACATTTTATAGCTCAGAGCATTAATACTTTTGCTGGTTAATAACTGAACAATTCTACATGTCTGATCCAGTTTTTCTCTTGTCACTTGTCTAAATGTCTGCATGTAATGTATGCATTGTAATTTTGATGCAAATGCATATTCAATGAGCGGTTTACAGCAGGTGCTTTAATTTCCATGTTCCCACATTGATATCCCTTAGCCCATCTCTCACCACGTTACAAAACAGTTTAACTGTTAATATTGATTCTTTAATATCTACATTTTACAATTTCCCTGAATTTAACATTTACAGCCCTTTCTCCTTCCACTGCTGGCTAATTAATGAAGGTCTCCCCATGCCGTGTCGGGCACGAGGACTGCTTTTGACCATAACTCACCGTGCTGCTTGGTGAAGGTTGAAGATTGGGCCCAGGATCAGCCCCAGTTATCACTCGCCACTGACATTAGCCGTGGCAATGAATCATCCTCGGGTCACAGGGCTCATAGCATAGTGCGCTAACCACTGCACCTCCACTCCTCTGTATGATATTACAATATGTATTGTTTTTACAATGAGCAAAAATATGTCGGGAAATGAAATTGGTCGAAACCCTCTTTGGTGAATCGTTTTTATTTAGTGATTCATTATGAATTTGGTTCAAACTCCCCTTAACCAAAGCATAGTTTTGTATAAAAAAAAACATATTTTGTCATACATATTTTTCTCTGCAGACGGCTTTCAAAATTTACTTGGGTGTGACTCCGACTGTGACCAACTGGAGTCCAGCTGGTGATGAGTTCTCACTGCTGCTGGAGACCAACCCGCTGGTGGACTTTGTGGAGCTTCCAGACAACCACTCCAACCTGGTGTACTCCTCCATGCTGTGCGGAGTGCTGCGCGGAGCCCTGGAGATGGTATCTCACACACATTTTTAACAATAATAATTTCACGATATTCATTTCAACCGGTAACGCGCCGCCACACCGTAGTCACTCGCTCTCGAAGAGCGCAAATGGCTCGGTGGCGTGTGGAGCCACAGACAGGCAGGGAGGCAGCCACGTGGTGAGGAACCGGTGCCAACCGTTGCCCAAGCTCTGCGGTCCTCTATATGTGAAGACGTTATCGGCCAATTCACGAGTGTTTACACGTGGGAGGAAACCGGAGCACCCGGAAAAAAAAAACCCAAGAATGTGAGGGCTAAACAATCTATCACATACAGATGGATCAGGTTTGAGTCCCCACATTTGCTGTACCGCATTCTCCTGGCGAGCCGGGCTATGGCACCGCTACTCCCACGGGAAGGGAGTTTAACAACGTTTGTGTGAGCCGCCAACCCTCGCCTCCGCGCTGCTGGATTACAGACGGGCACCACCACCGCTTAATCATCGTTTACTTTTCACGTCTGACGTTGAAAGCGTTATTGCATTAGCTCTGTCCACCTGCCTACTCTGTCTGTGATATGGGGTTAGAGTAACTCTGACATGTAAATTGAAAGTTTTGGTTGGACGGCGGGGTCACCTCATTGGTGCACCGATGCGTCGTCTCAATGGGGAGGTCAGGAGTGGGAAATGGACACAGCCAGAAAGCGGTCATCTCTCTCACGTGTGGTATGACGAGTCATTCTCAGCGTGAATGTTATTTCAAGCGTTTAAAAAAAAATGTGTGGTGCAAGGCACACCGAGCGTATTTTATTTTAGAGTTTACAGCTATCAATCAGAAGGTTGTGAGTTCGTATCCCAGTTGGAGGGTGTTCACGGAGCCCATCATTCATCCAGGGTTAGTAAAATGACTTTCACTCTGTGGGGAAGTTAACAGTGGCACGCCCACCGGATGCGCTTGTGCAGCCGTCTGTATCGCTCTTTCGATATTAGGAAGCCACTGGAGCGATGCACTTTTAAATGTCGATTGAAATCTCACTTCCTTAGAACTGCTTTGTGTTTGGCTTGTTGTCCTTAACCCACACCTCTGATGAGCATGGTTGGCTACGTACGGTACGAAAGATGTTAAACATACATACAAGCACGGTTGACCACGTAGCTGCGAGAGAAGTTCAACATACATTCGTGAAAAAAGAGCCTTGAGACTCGATGAAGCCCTCCTGGGTAAATACACGAAACGGCTCCAGAGTTTGCTTGCTGTTGAACCGACGTTTGCCGAAAGGCGATGGCACTCGCCGACGAGAAGCTCGACTCGCAGCCTGCGTCGCCGTAGCTTTGCTCCGCTCGTGCCGGCTGCAGGTGCAGATGGCGGTGGACGTGCGGTTCGTTCAAGACTCCCTCAAAGGCGACGGCAGCACGGAAATCCGCCTCAAGTTCCTCAAGAGGATCGAGGAGAACATTCCGGCGGGAGAGGAGTAACCGGCCTGGCCACCGCCCGCGGTCTTTTGCTCCACACGGGGGGGGTGACGAGCGTTCGGAGAGGACGGCAAGGGAGAGCGACTCAATAATTTAACGGGGCTTCACGCTGACGGATGCTGTTCTTTTTTTTGGAGTAAGGTGCACCCCAGAAAACAAATCTCCTCTTGTGAATCTTGTAGGTATACGATGCATACAATCTCTGTTTCACTGACTGCATGACATCAAAGCCTCGGAAGTGGTTGATAATTTTTCATGGTGATCTGGTGCGTCGTGATGTCACTGTGATGTCGTTTTCACCCATAAATCACAGCTGTAATATCTTGAAGGCGATGACTGGGTGCTTGTCCATATTTGTTCATTTGTTGGGGTTTTTTTTTTCATCGACTAAAGCTTGGGTACATATCGACAATATAAAAAGCCAGTTTATTTTCTTGGTCCCATCTTGCTTCATGTTATAACATCGCACCTCCGATTAGCACGGTTGGCTACGTACGGTGGGAAAGATGTTCAACGTACATAACGTAGGTTATTTTAGCAGTAATATCTTGTGAAATTATCAGATTCCATTCCTAAAGTTAAACCCTTGGTGGTTTGTATACATGCGTCATCATTCGGGCCATAGATTTTTCCACCGTTTGTCAGTCAGTCTCGCTTCCTGCGAATGATTACATTTAACCAAACAAGACCCGATCACCTTTGACCCCATCAATCGCCAATGTGTACAGATTTGTAAAATAGTAAGGCATTTACTTTCACAGCGGCGATTCTTGTTAATTGCAATAAATAAGGTCACTTACAATGAGATGGACGTTGTGGAAAACGCAACTTGAAAGAAATTTGTTTCGTTGATGGCGGCTTTGGCTTTTGTGTGCTGCGCGTGTACCGAGGTTGTGATAGCGTAGCCGTTGGCACGCTGCGCTGCGGGCCAGTTGACCAGAGTTCGATTCCTGCTTCGTGGCGAACATCATTGGCGTTTATCTGAACCGTTCCTGGGCTTCCCCTAGGTCGACTCGGCCTTAAATGAGCACCTGGTGTGGTGTGTAAGCGTAAGGCTTCCCCCGCACCTCCGATTAGCACGGTTGGCTACGTACGGTGCGAAAGAAGTTCCTTTATGCAAAGGCAGTGGGGCATGGTGCTGACCACACCACCACCTTGTGTACCATGCCTGCCTTCATAGGTGCTTGTGAACAGCCCTTGCCCCAAACAGTCCGCTAAAGGCTATACAGGGGATGTTAGCTGTGTGTGTACTGCACTCTATTGTGAATACGGACCTATGTGATTTTGTATTGCCTATTGTCTACATTTGTAAAGAAGTTGTGTGCATCCACAGTAGAAATGATTGTAACCGTATAATGTACTATTCTAGATTTAAAGCTTTCGTGACTGCTAGGATCCATACTCTTTGGTTATATTGGGTAAAGTCACGTAGGTGAAAATAAAATAACAAAAAATCACGACGTTTCGGCCACAACACAAGCGGCCTTCATCAGGTGAAGGGACGAGACTGTCTGGAGGACAGCGCTGGAGTGAGAGAAGCCACGCTTAGATCACGACCTTTAAGCTGTGTGAGATGAAAACAAAGCGCCTTGACAAAGGAATTAGCATATAATTTAGCATTGAAATGGCTCATTGAAATAGCTAAGTTAAAGTATACACATCCGCAGAGGTACCCCTTGACAAAGGAATTAGCATAGAATTTAGCATTGAAATAGCTGAGTGATTAGCTTGTAACTGGTCACAGAAATAGCTATGTTAAAGTCAGAGCATATGCATTCACCGAGGCACCTAGTACTAATCAGGAGAATTTAGCGAAACACAACCACGCTCAGACAGCGGACCTTTAAACTGTGTGCGAGCAAACAAGGTGTTCTGACAAAGAAATTAGCATAAAAATTAGCATTTGATTGGCCGATTTTAGGAAAGAGGTGGTGTACGTGCCGGTGGACTTGCAGTTTGGCGCGGGGGGGGGAGGGGGAGTGTACCTATTGATGGTGTGAAAAGGGAATTTATAAGAGCTGCGAAAGTTTGGGGTACCACTACTTGAAAAAATATACTGTACCATTGAAATTAGTTTAATGTTTAGTTCGATTTAGAACATCTTTTCAATGGTTGCTTAATTTGAAACCATCTTCTCGGTTGAAATTGTGTCTGTGTTTGTAGATTTGAATTGCTTCATGAACAAATCTCTGATAAAAGCCCGTGGGTTTGCAAAGAACCTTGGTATCGGAGAAAATTATATCGTGATCCCCCACAGCGTTCTAACAGTGATCAGCCACGGCAGAAGAATTCGTTTTGCCGTGTTTCGAATCTGATTTGTGCTCGCAAATTCGGTCAGAGACATGTCGCTTTGTCTCCCCAAAGTCCACCGGCACGTACACCACCTCTTTCCTAAAATCGGCCAATCAAATGCTAATTTTTATGCTAATTTCTTTGTCAGAACACCTTGTTTGCTCGCACACAGTTTAAAGGTCCGCAGTCTGAGCGTGGTTGTGTTTCGCTAAATTCTCCTGTTTGATTAGTACTAGGTGCCTCGGTGAATGTATATGCTCTGACTTTAACATAGCTATTTCTGTGACCAGTTACAAGCTAATCACTCAGCTATTTCAATGCTAAATTCTATGCTAATTCCTTTGTCAAGGGGTACCTCTGCGGATGTGTATACTTTAACTTAGCTATTTCAATGAGCCATTTCAATGCTAAATTATATGCTAATTCCTTTGTCAAGGCGCTTTGTTTTCATCTCACACAGCTTAAAAGCCGTGATCTGAACGTGGCTCTCTCACTCCAGCGCTGTCCTACCAGACAGTCTCGTCCCTTCACCTGATGAAGGCCGCTTGTGTTGTGGCCGAAACGTCGTGATTTTTTGCTATTTTATTTTCACCTACGTGACTTTACCCAATAGAACCAAAGAGTACGTATAATGTACTCTTGATTAATAGGCGTGTATGCGAGTGCAGTACGCACACATGCCCGTATATGCTCTATGTGGCGGTGTATTGAAAAGTAATCAATTGCAAGCCTGTATTTGTGCACTGCTGGATGAAGGCCTCCCCATGCTGTGCAGTCATGGGGGTCGTTGGACTGTTCACCAGCACACTGATAAGTGTAGGTTGATGTTGGGGAGAGACCCCACCGTTCAGCTCGGATATCGCCGCTGATGTTAGCCGTGGTCAGGAATCGAACCTTGGTTGATGTTATTTTGAGTGGGGTTTTTTTTGTTCTGCCTTTTACGTTGCTTTCAATATTTGTATAATGTAAAACAATACAAGTAACATTACAAGCTGCAAACGGACTACACTTGGCGTCGTGGAAATAATAATCACGGTTGGCTGATTTGCACCGTTGGCTACATACGATGCGAAAGAAGTTCAACATTCATGATGGGGTATTCCGAGGACTTGCCGTACACTGGAACTTATTGGCCCCCTCGTGGCACTGATGACACATTTCCTGACCACGTGACGCTCTTAACGTCAAGCGGATTGGCTGCGGCCAAGTGAGTCGGGCCCGCGACCCATCCCGGGGGATATCGGAACAAGTTTGATTGTCGCGACAATATGCGTCGCGATTTGCCCCCCGACGACTCTCCCGGCGACAGTTGCAAGTCCGGTGAGTCTGACATCCGTTGCCACCAATGCAAGATCATGAAGTTTTATGTACCTCCTGTAAGTTTGAGAGAAAAAAAAATTAAGTAAAGTCAAGTGTCATGGTGTCACTGTGTCGTCACCCCCACGTGGTTTATTAGCATGGTCAATGCGGTGACGTTACCGCAGCGCTTTTGATGGGGCCCTTGACTGAGACTCGGAAGACTTTCATTATAAGAACTTTAAACGCGTATTGTTGAATAGCCAGAGATACGCAGACTAGGATTGTATCGACAAAAGAAGATTCGTATGATTTTGGGTTGCCTCTTAATTGATACGATATTGTTCCTAATGGTCTGTCAGGTTAAAAGGTAATAAATTCAAACGAATGTGAGTGAATAGTTGGTAATCTCTGATATTTCCCATGTTACTTTAAGCTCGTAAAATTATGCAACTTAAACACTTACGAGGTATAACAATATAGCCGTGCTATGTGGATGACGTGAATTAATAAAATCGGCAGCCATAATTTGTGCACTGCTGGATGACGGCGTCCCCAAGACATCGCCGCGGTGTTGCGACGCGCCAATCCATCTTGCGCCCGAGCCAACCCCATCATCGCACCGTCTCCACGGGGGTCATTTCTCGGGCAAGTTTACGTCTTTCGCTGCCACTCTGTCATCGGGTCTGTACCATCGGTCATCAGCCCTTCAGGCTATCTGTCGTGCCCAAGCCCCATTAACTTTTTTTTCTTCAAGTCAATATGATGTCTCTAAATTGTTACTCGATCCAATGTCACTCCTGTTGATGTCTGTACTTCCAATTGTGTGCGGCGTCCTCGCCTATTTGCGCGCTTTTTCCGGTTTCCCATTTTCTTTGTGAATGTTCCAACGATTCAATTTGTGACCTTAAAAGGTTTTTTTTCGATTGGGGAAAATCAACCTTGAGTTTACAAAATCGTAGGTAGGCCTTCAGGTTGTAAATTATCTTTTGCATTGCAGACGTCACGATGACAGATTCTACATAAACCAGTAATTATTTACAAACTGGAAAATTTGCGTTTACAGCAAAGCAATATATAAAATAGTGTAAAAAACACTGATGTATCAAGTGCTGGTTCTTGTGTTTCTGTCTCAGTCCATCTATTTTATTTGTATTTTATTTTTGTATAGGTAATATATAGTGTATACTTCTATTATATATAGTATATACTACTATACACTATATCTGTTTGTGATTTGCTTACTTTACTTGTTCTTTGTACTCCGATGGTGTTTTTGTATTTGTTGTTGTAACGTTCTGACCCGCCCCTACTGGACATCTCGTGTAAAAGAGCTTTATAGCTCATCGGATTCCTCCAGTATATATAAATAAAAATTCTGATTTTGATATCCTTCCAAGAGAGGAGTTCCTATACAGTTAGTCATCACGCAAACGATTATTGAAATGTAATTCTCGCGGTTTTTTTTAGTTAATCACTCACGCATTGCCATATTGCAGGGCTTCTCACCTGGGGGTGTTCAGTCATGGTTTTGTGAATAAGGCGAAGCAGAATACTCTTTGCTTCTTTCGGTAAAGTCACGTAGATGAAAAAAAGAAATGAAAATAACTAAATTAAATCACGACGTTTCGGGCGCAACACAAGCGTCCGTCATCAGGTGGGACAGCATGGTCTGCTGCTGAGGCAGACTGTTTTAAAAGGTTTGAAATGGGTGTAGCTTGTGTTAGTTATTTTCATTTTTCATCTACGTGACTTTACCGAAAGAACCCAAGAGTATGGATACTTGCAGTCACGAAAACTTAAAATCTAGAGCTAAGCAGAATAATTTATCAGTCAGAATATTTATACTGGAGGAATCCGATGGGCTATAAAGCTCTTTTTTTGCACAGATGGCCAGTAGGGTCGGGTCAGAACGTTACAACAGCAGAGTCCACAAGAGGCGATGGAGGCTTCATTACCAGATCACACTCGCATACTTTGGTCTGGTGTGGGCGTGGGTTTTCTTGCATAGCATTGCATAGCATTGCATCTGTAGACATGGCTAGGCAGGCTTTCGTGAGACGGAACGGCTTGCTGAAGGAAGTGATCGGGGGAAGAATTTTCGGGAAAAGACCCAGAGGAAAGAAAAATGAAGGCGAGGCTAGACGATGTCCAACCAGGAAGGGCTTGCGGGGAGATGAGCGCAGCGAAAGACAGGATTGTGGGGGAAAGTTGGGG